CATCATCATCATCATCATCATCAGGTGACTCACAGAGATCCAGGGGTGTTTTAGCGCCTCGGCTGCTGTGATCCTTTTGGCCGGATTGATGGTCAGCATCTTATTAATGAGATCTTTGGCTTCCGGAGTCACTGTGTCCCACTCTGGAGAAGGAAACTAGGAGAAAGGAGAGGAGGCACGGAGAGGAGACAAGGAGGCGAGGAAACAAGGGAGGGAAAAGAAGAAGACAAGGAGAATAGGGAAGGAAAGGAAGGAGACAAGGAGGAAGGAGGTGAAAAGACCACAAAGGAAGTAAGGAGAGAGGAAGGTGAGAAGGAGATGAGGAGATGAAGGAGACAAGGGAAGGAAAGAAGGAGACAGAGGAAGCAAGGAGGAGAAAAAAGACACAGCGAAGAACAAGGAGAGACGAAAAAGACAAGGAGTCAAAGCCCCACCCACAACACACACACTGACCAATGGTTGAGCTCCATGCACGTGAACAGTCATGTGACTTACATCGTATGCTCCAGCCTTAATCTGCTGGTAGAGACGATGTTGATCTTCATCCCAGAACGGAGGATAACCGACCAACAAGATGTAAAGAATCACACCTGAGAGGGAAAGTTAAAGTTACACACCTGGGAGAGGAGACCTAGTGAGATACAAGAAGGAGACGAGGAGACAGAATGGAATCTGACCACAGGCCCACAGGTCGACCGCCTTCCCGTATGGATCCTTCCTCAGAACCTCCGGAGACAGATATCCAGGAGTCCCGGCAAAACCTGCCGACACACAGCGCCACATATTATAGCTTCATACCATGAAGGATAAATGCATATGATGTAAAACAGACAAGAGAATAACATTCCTGGCAAAGATTTAAAAATGTGCAAATAATAAAAACTAAACGGAATAAAGTATGATACGTATGATACATTCTAAAATAGACATTTTAAACAATGTCCACTACAAAAAAGAATTAAAGTGATGAAACGGAGATAACAGGAAAAAAAAGAACACAAAAATAACGACAACAAAAAAGGAGAAGAAAGATAAACTGAAATTAAAATAGAGTAAAATAAGATAGAATACAATCAAACATGCTAATTACATCAAAAATGTGTCAAACTAAAGAATTATGTAAAACAAACATGTGTATCAAAAAGTTAACGAAAGCCAGAAAAAGCAAAATGTTCATTTAAAAGACTGTAATGAAAAGTAAAATAAAATAAAATAAAATAGAATAAATGAAAATTTAAAATACAAAAATTCAAATAAATATTAAAAATACATTTAATTTTAATAAAGGAGCAAAATAAAGAAAAGTTAAATAAAATACAATAAAATAATAATTACGTAAATCAAAAGCGAAAAGGAGAGAAAAAACCAAACTAAACAGTTGGAGGAGATTCTGCTGGAATGAAAACAGGTGCATAGTACTACTGTAGGACAACTCTGAGATGTTACTGTCGTCTGTACTGTAGGCCTGCAGCAGCAGCAGCAGCACAGTAATATTGCAGTAATACTGCAGTGGCATCTTACCAAACCAGGCCTGCTGGTCTCCCTCCACTTCGATGGCAAGGCCAAAATCAGCCAGTTTCACTGCCGCTCCTTTCGACTTGGAGGCCAAAAGCAGGTTTTCTGGCTGGAGACACAGAACACATGCTAACTTGCTAACTCTGACAACTATATTACATGAGCAATGCTAACAATGCTAAGAGGAGCTAAATACACTGTCCTGTGCTGTACAACCCTGCTGTCCTAACAGATCTCATACAGTTTAAGCTCACAGCTACCTTCAGGTCTCGGTGCACCACGCCCATCTGATGACAGTGTAGCACCGCCTCCAAAATCTGCTGGATACAGTGACTGTTCAGAGAGGGGAAAGGGGAAAGGGGCAAACAACAGAAGGTAGAGGGTAGAGGGCAGAAGG